GATTACAAAATAGGAGAAATTAAAATCTGCGTGGTGATATAAATTTTTCCCACCAACAAATAGTGGTCAGAAATTGATCGTCCAGGAATAAATGCTACTTGTTCTTCAGAAATAATTCTAGTGATGCATCCTTTCAATCTATTCATGATCATAGTTTCCACTAACTTATAAGTAGTTTTTTTTTTAGAAAAAGAAAGGGGAAAAAAACCCCAACTAAGTACAAGCTAAAGATTCCCCCTTCAAGATATTAACAAATGAAGGAGGAATCTTATCAAGTAAAATGTCTTCCCGAAAAAAATTGGAAAAAGCACCAAAGTTAGCACAAAGGTCTGCTAACTTATTACAATCTCTTTTCACACAATTAAAAATAACAAAATTAAAACTATCAATCGAAGAAAATTTATACATACCTTTGACTCCTTTCTTTGTATTATTATGTATGAATTTGATAATATTGTCTTTATCACTTTCAATGATTATACCTTTGTATTCATGCATCCGATCTTTGAAGATTTCTTTTATCGAAGCAATAGCAAGAAATTCCAATTGAGTGGTATCCCAATGTCTTTCGGGTCTTCCATAAGCTGCTGTGAGTCTTCCTTTATGGTCCCTTATTACACCTCCTATTCCTCCTTTATAAGAAGGAAATAAAGTTGCGTCTACATTAACCTTTATCCAATCGGGTGGAGGAGGGCACCAACAATATTCAAACAACAAATGCTGATTAGTACCCAACCATCCCGAATTGATGAAGTTAGGAATATTAAAAACTCATAGAAAGCTGTCTGCTTCCGCAGCTATAAACATTGAACTCCTTTCTTTTTTCCCATGAACCAGCTCATTCCTTTCCTTCCATTTAAGGTTGACAGCATTACACAATAAGCTAGACATAAAAGGATTTTGTCTAATCAGCCAATCAAACAACTCCTCCTTATTATCAAATATCGGGATATGAAAGCCGTCGTGTTCAAAATTTTAAAACTTCAACCAGTTTTGAATATCTATAAGTTAGATGACAAATATTTTCTTCTTCGTTACAGCCTCTAGGACAGTATGAACTGGTTTGACGTCTTCTATAAGATAGGAAAGAATAGGTTGGCAGTGCATTATTAAACATTTTCCAGCGGAAATTCTCCACTCTAGAATTCATTTTGGATTTTTTAAGCCAATTCCAAAGTGTCTTATCATAATAAGGAGAGGAATTAATATCAGCTTCCATAAACGTGATAGTTCTACCAGATTCCATGTTAATAAGATCAAATTGATATTCAGCAAGCTCTATTTTAATTTTCATTTGACAGATGAGGCGAACCAGTTCATTACCAAAAAATTTATGAAGTTCTGTCAGATTCCAGTGACTACCAGATACAAAGAAATCCACCGTTAAAGTTCCATTTACTACTTCTAAGGAATTGACAAAATTTGGTCACCTGTTAAGACACTTATCTAAAATCCATGTATCTTCAAATACATCAATTGAATGACCATTAGAAATATCCCATCTCACAATTTTCTGCAAGAATTTGCTTCCATCTTTAATTATCTTCCAAGCTGAAGAATTAGAGGGATTTTTAACACATTCCATGATTAATTTTGAGAAAAATTTAGGAAATCCAAAATAAGAAAGAACCTTTTGAAGAGTTGGCCATCCCATAGAATCATAAGCTGCTCAATGTCTAATTTAATAGACACCAGACCTTTAGAAGCATTAGAGATCCTAAATTTGTGGAAAAGTTCTTGAGCAATCAATACATGGTCTTGAGGAGATCTTCCCTTAACAAAAGTTGCCTGTTCTACAGAGATGATATTCGGAATGATAGCTTTCATTCTATTAAGGATAACCTTTGAAGCAATCTTGTAAACTGTGTTACAAAGGCATATAGGCCTATAATTGTGAGTATATTTTGGGTTACTTGTTTTGGGAATAAGAACTATTAAGGTTATTTTCCAATTATCATCCATAATAGCTGTTTGAAAAAAGGATTTCAAAGCTTCCCAAAATTTAGATTTAATAATAGACCAATAGTTTTTTAATGAAGTAATAAGTTATCCCGTCCTCACCAGGAGAAGTGAATCTCGAAGTTTCACTAATAGCTTTTTTGATTTCATCTATCATGAAGTTGTTGTTTAAAAACCTCTTGTCTTCCTCCTCTAGAAATTGATGAACCTCCGGCCAACCTTCAAGAAAACAATTCAAGTCACGCCATTTTTCTTTAAAAAACTGAATTAACACATCTTCAATTTGCTTTTGCTCCTCCATTATGATACCATTGCTATCTTTAATACAATGGATGAAATTGATATTCTTTCGTGCACTAGCCATAGAGTGGAAAAACTTAGAGTTTTGATCACCTTCCCCTATCCATTTTACTTTAGATCTTTGCCTCCACCATGTATTTAAACAAGCTAAAGTAGCATTAAGCTCATTAATTTTAAATTTCAATAGAACATACTCTTCTTGAAAAAGCCCTCCGTCTTCAGCCTCCTTAATTTGAAGCTTTAATATTTTGTCTTTGAGCAGGTTTTTTAGATAATCCAAATCTTTAAGTTTAGCCTTACTCCAAAAGAATAAGGCTTTAATAGATCTTTTCAGTTTGTAATTGAGAATTTCAGCTGCTGTACCACTGTCCATCCTTTTCCAAGCGTTCTTCACCACTGCATAAGAAGCCGGGTAAGAAGCCCAAACATCCTCAAATTTGAAAGATTTCAAACCTTTAGAAGAGTAGTCAGAAATTTTAAGAAGCATTGGACAATGATCTGAAGCAATCCTGGGGAGATGCTTAACAACTAAATGCTGATTATAATTCACAGAAATAGAATTTTCTAACATCCTGTCTAATCTTTCCATAATTTGATCCGCTCCCTTTTTTTTGTTACTCCAAGTAAGCCTAGGACCAACAAAGCCTAGCTCATGAAGATCATTAGAGGTCATGTAGGATTTCATCTCTTTAGGACCCAAAGAAAATAAAAACCTCCTTCCTCCCTTCTTGTCTTCTTTGGATAAAAGACAATTAAAGTCTCCTCCAATCACCATAGGCCAATCATTGGTGAAATAAGGTTCCAACCCATTCCACCCCGCCCCCCTTTTCCTTAACAATACCATCCGATTTTCTGTTTCTAGTCTTCAAATTAATGGGTCCTAGGCCTTTGAACTGTTTCAAACCTTTCTTCTTCAATGTAGAAGAACTGTCTTCAATAAAACTGGCTCTATCCTTATAAAGACAAGTAACTTCATGCAAACTCTTATGGGTAGCATCTTCTTCCATACAAAGAATTCCAGGAGTGACATTCCCATCCAAAATCTCCCCTCCTTCAGCCAATGTTCCTAAGACTTCAAATTTATTATTGAGAGTAAGAGTTCCTTCAGTCATTACAGCAGCATCCACTTCCACAAACTTTTTCTGGCTGATCATTTCTGCACCGTTCCTGATATCCTCAGAGTTCACTACTTCCTTCCCACCTATATCAAAAGGAATATGCATTGTGCCCTCAATAGTGTTTTCCTCCTGCAATTTATCCCCATCAACTGTTTCAATACTGTTATTAATAACAACATTAACTTTTTTCTCCAAATTTGAATCAGTGAATCTGACTTCTCCTTTATTAAAATTTGTTCTCAAAGCCTTCTTTTTTTTGTGCTCCACTTGAATCCACGGCCCATACATCTCTTTGTTAACTTCAATGTTTGGAGCAAACACTTGAGATTTAGAAGTAGGATCTGACGCTTTATCAACTTAACATACCAAACCTTCTCCACCTAGCTTATTATTGATAGGAATCAAATTCTTCAAACAGTCCTCCTTTAAATGACCCAATTTGCCACATTGAAAGCAAAATGTTGGTAACCTTTCATATTCTATATTTTGATAGAATTTCCCTAATTCTCCTTCCACCCAAACTCCCAAAGGATGTTTTTCATCAAGTTTGACTCTTACACAAACTCTAGCAAATTATCTCAGACTCCATTGAAACGTGTTCCCATCTAGCAAATAAGGAGTGCCCACCATGGAAGCAATTCTACACACATTAATTTCATCCCAACATTGAAGGGGAAGATTAGGCATACAAATCCATATTGGAGCTATAATCCCTTTGAAAGAACAAGGAGAGAAAGAGGCTATCCATCTATCCATGTCTACTATGTTGTCGTTGACATACCATGGGCTGGAAGTAAAGATTTCCTCCACAGATTCGTGTTCTTCAAATGCACAGAGCGCCCAGCCTAACCCCAGTTGGGTTAAATGAAACTTTCCAATTCTTGCCCATTGTTTCCTTAACTCAATGCTAATAACATTGAATGGAACATTATTACCAAAGACCTTAATAACCAGAGCCTTTTGAAGCATGTTGGAATTTTCTATTTCCTTCTCAACATGGAGCTTAACCACACCATCTTCCTTCATGAAATTTTCTCCAAAATTTAAATCTGAAACTTTAATATTAGCCTTCTTCTTCCATACGTTCGAATAAGAATAACTAGTAAGGTTTTTGGGCCGATCATTAGTTTCCTTATGATTACTACAGTTCCCAAGCTCTCCCCCTTCACAATCACGAACCTTGAGGAGATCTGAATTAGGAAGATTAGCTTCAAAGCTATTATGAACATTATCATTTGTTTTAGTTATATCCAGATCTTCAGTAATCTGGATTTTCTACAGTACTCCATGGCCATCTGTTTCCTTAACAGTTGACACAAAATTACAAGAAGTAGGCGTGCAGTTATCAAGTTTGAGTGAATTTCTCATATTAATGATCTTGTCAGAAAATTTGTTAACCAAAGACTGCGAATTACAATTTTCATCCATCAAGATTTCCTTTCCCTTACCAACACAATCATGAAACTTTTTTTTAATCAATAAACCTCCTTCTTTGATCACAAGAGGTCATTCCTTAGTTAACCAAAAATTTCTATCATTATCAAAACTAGAGTCTCCAAAAGCCGGAGGAGATGAACCAGTTTGACGTAAAACCTTACGAGAAGATGGAGGAGGAGGTGGACGGAGGATGACTGGAGCACCAGTTGCCACAGAATGATGATCCTCCATCGCCTTCAACGATCAGCGGATAACCCGCGAAGCAGAATTCAAAAATCGCCCAGACATTCTCTTTCTAGGAACTTTCTCTCTCTAGTCTATCCATTAGAGGAAGGTTTAGGAGTAAAAAAGAAGAACAATTCAACTTATAAGTAGTTTGACACAAACTTATAGGCCTATAATTAGCTGGAACAATAGGATTACCCATCTTGGGAACAAATACAATAAATGTATCTTTCCATTCAGCATGCATAAAACTAGTTTTGAAAAAGCTATCTATTGCTTTCCATGTTTCACCTTACACAATCTTCCAATAGAATTTAAAAAAAATAGATGTAATAATACCATAAAGGCTGGGAGATTTATTGTTACCTTATTGAAAAACAACATTGATTAGCTCCTCTTTAGTAAATTCTGCACTCATAAGATCAGCATCTGCTTGAGAAATTCTCTGGTTTTTAGGAATAGATGGCCAACCCGTTAGCTTGCACTCTCTAGCCTTCCATTTTTTCACAAAAAATTCATGAAAAACTGCTTCAATGTGTTCAAAGTCCTCCAAAAGATTATTATTTTCATCTTTGATTTGTCTTATAAGATTACCATTTTTCTTTGCAGAAGCAAATTTATGGAAAACATTGGAATTAATGTCACCTTCCTTATGCCATCTAGCTTTAGCTCTTTGGTTTCACCAAGTAGATAATCTCCCCAACATGACCTTGAGCTCATGCACTTTACTTCTAAGCAATTTTCAGCTTCTCTACCGTAAGCCCAGCTTCAGTAGATTCCTCCAACTGAAGATCAAAAATTTCCTTCTTCAAATCTTCCTTTGGTAAATTTAGCTCTCTACACTTATTCTTATTCCATAAGTATAAAGACTTCAATGCTCGTGTTAGCTTCCTCTATAGTACTTCAACATGATTACCAAAGTCTGTTCTTTTCCATTGCTTCAAGTATCTTCAAATCTAATAATTTTAGATCATTTATTTTTACGCTCAACCACATTGAAGGAAATAGGACTGGGGTCTGATTCTACCCTTGGTAAATGTTGAACCTTTGCCATAGGAGTCCTTTGCAATGCTACAGAGTTCAACAAGCATCCGTCTAACCTCTCCCAAATTCTAGTTGCACCTTTTTTGTTGTTGCACCAAGAGAATCTTGGCCCAACAAAACAAACATCATGGAAATCATTATTTGTCATAAAAGCATCTCCTTAGGTCCCTTTGATAAACGAAACCCCCCCCCCCCCCTCTTATCATGTTTAGATAAAATGCAATTAAAATCATCTCCAATAATAGAAGGTGTATTATTTGGCAAACATTTTTCAAGCGTTTCCCACATACATCTTTTTACATGCAAATCTTTGCCTCCATAAACCATTGCCACATTCCAAGTGCCTAATAAAGTGCTGTTAAGAACACCCATAACTACTTAAGAAGAAAGTCCAGTTACTTCAAAAGATACAACCTTCTTATTCCATAGAACAAGGATCCCACCCGAGGTTCCCTTAGTAGGATAGTGAAAAAACTCCCAATCACTTCTAATAAGAAAATTAACATCTCTTCTATCAATGCTAAATTTTCAATAAAGACTTAGAGAGAGAAACTTCAGAAAATATGTTAGAGAGAGAAACTCCATAAAATTCAAATTTTCATTCCCGAAATTTGTTCCTGGTTATCAAGAATAGGTGTGGCTGATGGCAGTGGAGAGTCGCCGGAAAGCATAGGCCCCTGCGACTAGGTCTCCATCCTTCATTAGAAATGCGAAGTTAGAAATCAAAGGTAAAGAATCACTGCTGTTGAAATCCAAACATTATTCTAAGGAGCATTTGTTTAAACTGCAAGGCCCCTTGGTGATTAAAGAGGTATCAGAAGTAGTGCCCAAAAAGATCAAGCATGTGGAAGGAAAAGGTAAAGGAATTGAAGAACGTGCGGTCATTGTTACTCCTAAAATTGAAAATTTTTTCAATTTTCTTCCTCTTTCTCGATGGATCCTACTGCATCATCATCAGGAATGAAAATTTTTGCTAACAGATTTGTGAATTCAAATGCAATCCCTGGACATAGTGTGATAAATGTGAATTCACTAAATTTGGTTAATAATAATATTCATTCGTTGGTGAATGATAGTAATGGACCGAGTGTGGCTAAGGTGAAGGATGAAATGCCAAACACTACTGTTAGTATGGGTAATATTAATCCTTGGAGTAACAAGCTGTATATCAAACTTGATTTCAAAGAAGATGAAATGATTTTTCCAGAAGATGGTATGGCCATGAGGATGATTGAAGATTTGGAGATTTCGAATTCAAAGAAACTATTGAATTCAATGGTGATTAATGTGTTTGGAAAAGAATTGGCGTCTCATTTGGTAGCTTGGGAAATAAGAAGGCAATGGAGTCATTTGGGGCAATTTCACTTCACCACTTTGGGTAGGGGATGGTTCTTATGCTCATTTAAATCAGAAGAGATGGTGGAAGCAGTTCTTTCAAGAGGTCCATGGTTTATTAATGGACATATAATAGGGATGGAGGGATGGTCTGCAGAATTTTTTTCTTTATCCATGAAGGGACTAACCTCTCCAATTTGGATTAGAATGCCACATTTTCCATTGCAATGTTGGGATGAAGTAAATATAGCAAGAATTGCTTCAAGAATTGGTAGATCATTAATGATGGATGGGAATATGTTTTAATGGGGGAGGAGGGAATTTGCTAGAATATATGTTCGGGTCAAGCTTGATTAACCTCTTTTGTTGGGAGTATGGGTGGACAGCATTTCTGGAAGGTTCTTTCAAAATGTGGAATGAGAAGGTGGCTAACTTTTGTTTTGAGTGGGGAATGATTGGGCACTTGAAGAGTGATTGTGCACAAAGTGAGCCCATTCCCAAGGAGGTAAAGGTT